TTTATGTAATTATTCTTGTTCAATTTGCGTTGTGTTGTCCTGGAGGTAACGCAGCAATTGAAAGAGTTTTTTCAATCGCGAATGATGTTTGAACATGTGAGTAATCTAGATTAAATGTTGATGCTCTAGTTGCAGTACTGGCCGTTAAATTAAATATGAAGGATATATACGGTGACCATCCGTCCTGTATTATACAGGACAGTGTTCTTTTTTGAGACATTGTCCTGGTAATTTATTTATTTTATACGGCATGCCAAATGTTTTGTTTTTCTTTTAATGTCCTGTATTTGTCCCGTATTCGGTGTTCCGACGCCTTAACAGCTCATTAAAATGGTACGCCTATGAACGAATTTTAAGTGATGTTGGTATATGATCGTAATTTTCTTTATAAATAGTTATTATTTTCTAATCTGAATACTTATGATTCGTATCGAGCAATACATACAGTGTGGCCAAAGTAGAAAGTATGACTCGACATTTTAGTAAGTGTTGACTATTTTTCCTTAGTTTATTTAATGTTTATTATTTATTTTATGAAAGTAAAGCTCTTTTCCTAACAAAACCCATATAATACCAAATTTCCAACTTTGTGCAAAAAACTATACAAATTAATTCTGCAATATTTCGCCGAAATTTCAAACTTGTTAATTGGAATCTTTAGAAAAAAATTTGGTTTGCAGTTTTATAACTCACTAAAATTGAATATAATAAAGTGCGAGTGGAAAGTGCTGATCATTTGCTTCTCTTAAAAAAAAAAATGGTCGAACATACTTACTTTGTATGAAAAAAAGACGTAACATCGTCTGTAAAAAAAAATTCCAAAGATTAGTGTAAGCCTTACCGACTTAAAATTGAACTTAATTTTAATTTAACGGATTGTTTAAACAAATTTTACGGGGTAAAAATCTCGAGCAAATTATCCTATAAATTTGTGATGATTATAAGGATACAGTGTGGAAAAAATTTCCAAAATTATTTTTTGTTCCGTATTCGGCTCTCATAAATATGGTCACCGTAAGGATATATCTTCTTCGGATATCGTCGATATATTGTTAAAAGATGATGCCTCGACAAAAAATATTCATTCGATTGATAGGTACTCATTTAGATAATAGGGGTATTCTCTGAGTCTTGCAAAGCCCTTGCATGGTGCACGGATTGCACGGTTTGCAAAGCTGTCCCGTACGAAAACCGGTTTTAACCGTGCAATCCGTGCAATCTGTGCACCATGCAAGGGCTTTGCAAGACTCAGAGAATACCCCTAATGATTATTTATTATTTTACATTTATCATTTGGTGTAATTGTTCCACTGAGTAAAACAATTTTTTAACGATATTTCATGGTGTCGCCCTTTCTACTGTAAATAAGTTGGTCACCTTAGGTATTGGCATATACATAGCACAATTACAAATCGAGCCCTAAAGATTTTTTTTCAAAATTTTATTTTTGTTGCAGAAATGCATCCAGTTGCTCTAGGAACATTAAGCATCAAAAAGAAAATTTTAAAAACATTTCGCTTACATCTTTTTGGCGCTTGGGACTCGATATATTGCTATTCAATTAAAGAAGAATGGTATAGCGAAACGCAGGCAAAACAACAATACAAAAAAGAAAGCGATATGAGAGCTGGAGAAAAATATTCACAAGGCGTGCACTGCTAACCACTACATCACAGCGACCGCCAAAAACCACAGTCCTTAGTCTGGAAAACTCGAGGATGTAGAACTGACTGCCGTATCAGACAAATATAGTCTATTATAGATAGGCCATTCATCGAGGATCAATAAACACCTTCGGCAACTCTCATCCCTTGAATTCCACCATCGGAGACCAACGCAGATGAAGAACTCGTGAGACACACGATAGTTTGACACAACACCATGGTAGATAGCAACTTTGAAGAAAGAGTATAAGAATACAAAAAAGTTGGAAAGCTCATCCCTGTTCATTTGTGCTATTCTAATTGAAAGTAGAGCAAAAATAAAATAGAAAATGAATATTACGTTAAACTTATTTTGTTCTACTGGTAATACTTCGCGTCAGAGATTCACCATAGAATGGGTTAAGTTTCGGCGACTGCTACTCTCTATAGGGAATCTAGGGATTCACATTTTAGCCAGGAGTCCCACTGTGATATCACTAGCGTGACCTTATGTGTACCCCACCTATTTTCCCCATGTGCTGTGAATATTCAAGGATTTTTGAACAAGTTAAGATTGATGTTAGGTATGGGTGCATTCCAAAACGTCAAAATACGCAAAGCATCAGTCTCTTTTATTTCTAGACCTCAGCAGATTTTAAGGCCAAATGTGCGCAGCCACGTTTAGATGCTAGTTTTCTACTAGGTTGAGCAAGTAAGACTTTTTCTTCTAGTGTGGTTTAGAAATAAAAGAGACTGATGCTCTGTATTTTGACGTTTTGGAACGCACCCTATATTATAATGGTGGTTTTATTTGCCCATCTTTAATGAAACAGGTGATTTTGTCGCTTACGCCCCTTTTTCCGTCACAAAAAAAAGGCTAAAGCACGCAATTGCGGCGATTAAGCTAAAAGTGATATAAAGAAAACACATTTTTTTGCATAACAAAAAGCATTTTTTGCTTTATCGGAGCGCAACATTTTAAGAACGAGTGTGTCTGAACCCTCTACGAGGGTGCCGACTGGTAATGGGCACCAAATTTTTTAGGTTCTGTACGATGTCAGAACGGTGTCCCGCGAAGATCTGAAATCAGTGCCATATGTTCAAGCTCCTCAATATATGGAAATGGTTTTTGATCGTGGCATATGGTGGTAACGGAGGAGCAAACCTCTTGAAAAAGGCTCTGGGTTGGAATAAGGTGTTAGACGACCCGTGCTGATGTTCAGCCTGGCTGGGGAGCCAGATTAATAACTAGCCCAGTCTCGAACGGAGTGCTACGGATACCTGGCGACCTTCAGTTCTATCTAGCTCTATCTTAGCACACGAACCTCGATGCAAGCGGACCTCCTTTGTCCGATACTCGTGGGACCCAGATTATGAGTGAAATTTCCAAAAAAAAAAATAATCAATAAGGAGGACGATCCTCCAAAAAAACCGACAGGGGTGGCTTCGACTTCTGCATCAGCCTGGAGCAGGACAGGGGTCAGACCGCCAGGGCAGGGGTCAGGAGGCAGAGGGGGCTTAAGCGACAGGGCTGCTCCTAATAGAATCAACGCAGGTGGCAGTGGGAGGAAAGGAGTCCTGGGCAGACCGGTCTCCAATCATTTGTGATGGCTGGAGCTGCGAGGATAGGTACCAATCTTCCAGTGTGTGAAAGCAGCTATAGCAACCTGCAACTTAAGGATTAGAAATAATATCATTCAAGGGGCCAATAGGTTATGGTAGGCGAGGGTACTTGTACAACAACTAGGCTACTATGGCCGCAAATTGATAGGAAAAAACCGAAGAGCTGCTCAGTGTCTCAAGGGGGGACATTTCGATGGGCATGGCCTGTGTAACCGCTCATTGGCTAGTTGGTGAGCACGCTTCGAGATTAGGAGTATTCTCCCATGAATATTGCAGAAGTAGCAGAGATGAGGAAGAGGAAGAAACAGTTGAGCACTTCTTCCGTAGCTGCGCAGCTTTAGCTAAGAGCAGAGCGGGCTTTCTAGTTATGCACTTTTTCAGCTCTCTCTCAGGGAACTATCCGGTGTAGGAATAAAACCAGACAACTTTTTATTTGCTCTCAAAACATTTTTGCCGGATTGCTGATGCACGGTTCACCGTTCAGTTCGGCACATTTTATTTTGTTCTGAAGCAAACAGCTGATGATAATGTTGCCTACATACGATTTTGAGGGCAAATAACACATACAATTCGCTGCAAATGCATATAAAGGAGAACGTGGCAACCCGAATCATCAAGCCGTTCGGACAGAATATCAAAATCAATTTGATTCGAACAACGAACGAGTGTTCAGCACAATTTTTGTCGCGCTCTCAGTGAGACAAAATTTGAAAGGACAGCGTAAAATTACTAACAAAAAGTGTCCGGACACGAACGAACATTTTGTCGCTTACGCCCTTTTGGCGGTTAAGGCTCGATATTTTGTTTATTGATAATAAGCAAGTTGATACGTTTTTTTTAAATAAATACCGACGCGAAATTTTTTTGTTTATGTACATAGTTATGCAACCCTGTTTTTATTTTAAAAATATGGTCACCGTAGGTCTAGTAGTACTCATGAGTACTTAGAAAAACCAAAAATTTAATAAAAATCTGTATATTCATGATCACTTACCTACTCGGGAATCTTCTCTTGGCGTCGTATTGCCAATGCCGCGTACACCGTAAATGGTCGTGAATATGAGACATCGCTGGAACCTTAAGATCTTCAACATATTTGTCATGTGTATACTCTTTCGTGATTAGCTTCCAATTTACTTTCAGTTTGATGTAATCTATTTGTAGTCCTATTTCACCAACTTTGACTAGATTTTGGGGCAAGAATTTTCTACGACCTGCAACTGCTAACGACGCGGTCGTCAAAAATGTTCTGTCACCTACGCAACGACTTTGCGAACAGACAAGTAGTTTATTGATTTTTGTGAAATGGTATATCAGGAATACATATATGTATGTATGTACATAACCAAATAAGTAGTTAATTTTTTTATTTATATTCATTTGTATGTATATAAAAGGCTTGAAATTTATTAATATACATAATTATCATTGGAAATCTATGAGTAAATGGATCGATTGACGCACAGTTACCACTCGACGGCGGCAAGCCAAATGGGTGTGAAAATGCCAAAAATTAATAGATTAATTGAATGAAGTAAAATTACAAAAATTCATATGACACACTTGTTGATATGGATAAGTACATACATCTACATATGTACATATGTATGTATGTATGGCTGATAACATTGATTCATTGATGAGTTCGTGCGCGTCTCCTGATTATTAGGTAAGCACTGCGTGAGCAATGTGCCAGTTATCAACGAGGAAAAGTGATCAACATTGGTGAAGGCTTATTGCCACACATAAACAATCATTTTTCCTACTTATACTTATAGTAATTATATAAATATTTTCTCGTACATATAAATACATAACATGACTTTTTGAGGAAGGTACTATTTAATTAACATATAAAACATGATAACAAACTGCAAATGTGTATCTGTATGGCAGGTAGGCGTCGTACAGTGCAAACAGTGGGCAAAAATCTGAAAATTTGTTTACTACAATATGAGCATTTTTGGTACTTTTGTAAAGGTAATTTATCCATTCAAGAGAATTAGACCGAAATTTGCCTAGAAAATTACATCCCGCCGGGAAGCCACTGAAATTAACAAATTTCATAAAAAAATTTAATTAGAGCATAATCCTGCGTAGGGTCTTCATGGAAAAAAGTGAGAAATGTATGTATTTTTTTGAAATACAATTTTGGATTGACAGTTTCCTTTGTACATATGTATGTACTGTAGAGAATAAAAATAAGAATAAAAATTTGCGGATAAAATTTAACAAAAAGTGTCGCCACGGTATTCAGAAGAAAAAACAATTTTCTTTCATGAATTTAAAAAAATGCTACTAATACTGATTTAAAAAATTTTGATAGAAGAAAATTTCTTTTAAATTTTTTGTTTGTCAATTTTTCGTTTTTCTTGAGAGCTGCAGACCGGCCTTAAAGAAAAAAATACAAACTTAAACAGGGAATAAAAAAAAAAACATATTCGCACATGGCGTATGAGTAATATTCGATCCTGCTCATATTTCATACAAAAAAATTATTAGATGCGCATTTTCATTTGACAATTCACAACATTTTTATTTGACGATCGATTTTCTTCGTAAGTAGCTTGAAAAAAAAGTTACAGAAAATCGGTTATTTTTCCACCTGTTAAAGTTTGATTTAAAAAAAATAAATAAAATTACAATATCTTGGCAAAGTGACCTGCTCTAAAAAAAAACACAATACAGATTCTTTATCTACGACTCTAAATTAAGTTTACGTGTCTCGGCGTTTTTTTTTTGTGTAATTTCAAATTTGAGATTTTCCCTACTGTGTTATTTCATATCTACCCCTTTGCGTGAAATTATCGTATGTCCAAGAAACCAAATTTTACAGGAGAGCTAAAACCTTCTTAAATTTTTTGTGCTTGACCTTGGGTGATCGACTTGGTTTTTCCAAACCGACTTCCACCGGTTTTTTATATTCCTACATATAGGCGGTTTTTTTTTTTTAATTTTGATTTTCGAATATCACATAATAATTTTTATTCGTTTTACTTTTGATCTAAAAAAAACTTTGAATTTACTATTCTCTGCTTTATTCTAACTAAATAAAAGCCATCTTTACTGTTAATAGTTTTATTGTAGTTTCACTGTATGAAAATTATGTCAAATAAAACCGGTTTATCCGGTATTGGAAAAAAGGCTCATAACTGACGTATCTCAACCACCTAATACCTCTAAAGTTGAATTAAATTTAAGTTCAATTTGAATTTTTAAACAGACGGTAACCCTTTGACGTGTAGGTAAGAAATAAAGCCTTTTCAAAACCAAAAAAAAAACCTTACGGCACATCTAAAGTCCAAGTCCTTTAATTTGACACCGTTTATGAAAGCTATCAAAAAGGAAATAGCATTTTTTGAATTCAGCGTCCTCAAATTCACTAAGTTACTAATTTTCATTCATTTCACATTTTGTATGGATTGGAAACTGTTGAAATAATTGTTATATGGCATCACCATCTCTATTTCATTCCCCTATTATATTGTTTATTCATGGTAACTCTAACATTTTTTGACATTTCATTTGTATCTCTATACTTCCTTCTTTCTTATCTTTTAACCTTGGCAAATAAAGACATTAAATACTAAGTCCGGCGTTTTTTTTCCTTAAAAACATCCGCTATTTTTTCAACAGGTTATGGGCCCAGATAATAATTATTCTGGCCCGGCCTATCACGCGACTAAGTAGCCGTAATTATTTTTATATTTCCTCAATCGGGCGAGACTTAATAAAAAACGTGGTCGTGTAATTACATTCGTTGTAAACTGGGGCTAGTACATGTGTTGTCTGCCTAGCGATCGACAAAACCTAAAAAAAGGGGGAAAAATGTCTCTAAAAGATGCTGCGTGCATTGAAAAACTACGTGGGAGCGAAAATTTCCATACTTGGAAATTCGCCATGGAAAGTGTGCTCGAATTGAATGATTTGCAAGGGTGTATATCCGATCCGATCCTAGAAAAGGATGAAAAGAAGTTAAGAAGGGCAAAAGCTCAACTAGTGCTGTGCATTGACGAATCAATATTTGTGCACATACAAAATGAAACGAGCGCGTCGGGAATATGGAATACTTTAAAGAAGCTGTTCGAGGATACTGGTTTAACCCGCAAAATTGGACTTTTGCGTAAACTTATTACTGTGCGCCTTGACACGTGCGATTCGATGGCAGACTACGTTAATCAGTTAATAAACGCCGCTAATAGACTAAGTGGAATTGGATTCGATATTAGCAGCGAGTGGCTCGGCGCTATTATGTTGGCGGGTCTAGGAGAAGAGTTCAAGCCGCTCATAATGGGCATCGAAAGTAGTGGTGTGCCTATTACGGGTGAAAACATAAAAATGAAGTTGCTAGACGGCGATTACCATAAAAATGGCGATAGTGTGGCTTTTCATGCGTTAAAAAAAACGGGAAAGCAATCGAATAAACACAAACTAAAGTGCTATAATTGCGGGCGCAAAGGACATTTTAGCAAAGACTGTAAAGACAAAAGAAAGGCTCCAACGAATTCAACAGCTCGAACTCTAAATGCCTTTAGCGTATATGCGTCCCGTGATAACTGTCGTAATTCTGCAGGGTGGTACATTGATAGTGGTGCTTCACGGCACATGACACCGAATCGAGACTGGTTAAAGAATGTGAAAAGCTCTCATATTAAAGACATAAGTGTTGCGAATAATGAGCGAATGGCTGTGAAAGGTGTTGGAAATGCTAATCTTCATATTAATGATAGAGAAATTGAGGTAAAGAACGTGCTGTTAGTTCCGAAATTGGCGACAAACTTGCTATCGGTCGCACAAATTGTAGAGAAGGGGAACAGTGTGATGTTTGATAAATATGGCTGTAGAATAAATGATGAAAGTGGTAATTTAATTGCCGAAACGAAGTGTTCACTGGGTGTGTATAAATTTGACAACCTGCAAGTGTCGTGTATGTTGTCTAAGCACGAAACTAACATCATGACTTGGCATCGCCGCTTAGGTCACCTGAACTATGCAGATTTACAGAAAATGAGGGACGGTGCGGTAAAGGGGTTATCTTTTACTGGTGGCAAATTGGAGCTACAATCTTGCGAGATATGTTGTAAAGGAAAGCATGCAAGGGCGCCTTTTAAACCTAGTTCATCGCGCGCTAAAGGTGTCCTAGACTTGATACACTCCGACCTGTGTGGCCCTATGGAAAATAAGTCGTTTGGAGGAGCTAGTTACTTCATCACATTTGTAGACGACTACTCACGAAAAGTTTTTGTATATCTTCTGAAGTCCAAGGAAGATGTTATTGTTCGCTTTAAGGAGTTTAAAAATATGGTTGAAACTCAAACTGGCAGGAAAATTAAAGTTATTCGTACAGATAACGGTAGAGAGTACGTCGGTGAACATTTTAATAGCTTTTGTCGGCAGGCCGGTATTATACATCAAACAACTAATCCGTACACTCCTGAACAAAATGGGGTTGCGGAGAGAATGAACCGTACAGTTATAGAAAAAGCCAAGTGTATGATTTTTGATGCCGGCTTAAGCAAGCCATACTGGGGCGAGGCTGTTCACACTGCAGCTTATATCATTAATCGCTCACCTAATTCATCATTAGCGAAATGTGTCCCTGAGGGGTTATGGACTGACTCCGAAATTGATATTGCAAACTTTCGCATCTTTGGCTCACCAGTTATGGTTCATATACCAAAACAGAGGCGGCGAAAGTGGGACCCAAAATCTACAAAATTATTATTCGTGGGCTACAGTGACACAACAAAAGGCTATAGATGCATTGACCCAACCACAAAAAAGATAATCACAAGCAGAAATGTAGTGTTTATGGAAACGTCAGCAAAAACAATAGATCCTGTCCCATGCGATTTGGAGGATTCCGAATCAGTGGGGGAACTTGAAGCTGATCCGATTGATTCTAGTGAGACGCCTACAAAATCGTCAATGTCTAGTGATGAAGTATCCCACAAACTTCACGACAGAGATGTCGATAAGGGTAATGCAGCAGACAGTAAGTTAACTCCGAAAGTCGAAACTGCTCCTGAACCTGAAATACGTAAAACATCACGAACTCCGGCACCGCGCGACTTCGCGAGCCAGGGTTATGTGTCTCATTTGGCAGAGATCCATGCACCTGAGACCGACCCGCTCACATGTACCGACGCTTTAGGTAGCCCAGATTGCAACCAATGGAAATTAGCTATGAAGTGCGAGCTAGATTCACACATTGCTAACCAAACGTGGACATTGTGCAACTTGCCCACAGGTCGCAAGGCAATCAAGTCCAAATGGGTTTTCAGTACAAAGCGTGACGATAGTGGCAAAATAGTACGATATAAAGCACGTTTAGTTGCGAAGGGGTGCTCACAACGTTATGGTGTGGATTATAGTGAAGTATATTGTCCAGTGGTGCGCTATACCTCTATTAGATATTTGATTGCTTTATCAGTTAAACTCAATTTAAAGATAGACCAAATGGATGCGGTAACGGCATTTTTACAGAGCGATTTGTCGGAAGAGATCTTTATGGAACTTCCGGAGGGTTGCGGCGGGGAGAGTAAGAAAACCTGCAGGCTTAATAAGGCTATATACGGCCTTAAGCAAAGCGGCCGTCAATGGAACTTAACACTGGAAAAAACATTAAAATCTTTTGGACTATTGAAGTCAAAGGCTGACCCCTGCGTATTCTACAGTGGTGATTCGCAACTTATTGTCGCCATTTATGTAGACGACATACTGGTTTTTTGGAAGGACGCTCAAGTACGTGATAAATTAAAAAAGGCATTGTGTGAGAATTTCAAGATGAAGGATCTTGGCGTCGCTACAAACTGTGTAGGATTTCGCATATCCTATGACACTAAATCCAAAGGTATATGGCTAGACCAATCAACATACACTCGTCAAATTCTGGAGAAATTCGGCATGAGTAATGCGAAGGCTGTTTCAACACCAAGTGATCCCAATAAAAAATTATCGGCCAGTATGTGCGCTGAAGGCAAACAATTACATAACGTACCCTACCAAGAAGCTGTTGGCAGTCTCTTATATCTGGCGCAAGGGACTAGACCAGACATCGCTTTTGCTGTTAACGATGTAAGCCGTTTCAATAATAATCATGGTGAAGCACATTGGGTGGCGGTAAAACGCATCTTCCGGTACTTAAAAGGTACACTCAATTTTAAACTATTTTATGGCTATGACGATGACGTCCGAGGTTTCTCAGACGCAGACTGGGCATCGGATGTTGATAAACGACGTTCGTGTACGGGTTATGTTTTCACACTTTGTGGCGGAGCAATATCTTGGGCAAGCAAACGCCAGTCTACCGTTGCATTATCTAGCATGGAAGCGGAGTACATGGCTATGGCATCGGCAGTACAGGAGGCGATCTGGCTTAAACAATTTGGTCAGGATTTTGAGCCAGATAACGTGAACAAGGCTACACAGATTGCATGTGACAACCAAAGTGCAATTGCTGTTGCAGAAACCGACTGTTTTCGAGCTCGGTCAAAGCATATCGACACCCGCCATCACTTCGTTCGTGAGCGCATTGCTGACCAATCGGTAAAGTTGCTCTACATTGCTACTGAAGAAATGGTGGCTGACAGCCTAACAAAAGCCGTGCCTTCTGAGAAAAATATTTTTTGCGCGAAATCAATGGGTTTAGTTAATATTGAAGATTAAAAATGTAAACTTTCACTCAGTATATTTAATTGTATTAATAATTTGAAATTCAACTTTAACTTGGAATTTGTAACTTGAACTTGTACCAACAGCATATTGTAACTGAATTTTTAATGCTTCAATAAGTGGGAGTGTTGAAATAATTGTTATATGGCATCACCACCTCTATTTCATTACCCTATTATATTGTTTATTCATGGTAACTCTAACATTTTTTGACATTTCATTTGTATCTCTATACTTCCTTCTTTCTTATCTTTTAACCTTGGCAAATAAAGACATTAAATACTAAGTCCGGCGTTTTTTTTCCTTAAAAACATCCGCTATTTTTTCAACAGAAACACTGTGCGATGCTCTCATTTTTTTTTTTAGAACATTAAAATGAAATATTAGTTTTCAATTAATCGAAAATAACCCTTCTTACCTTAAGGAGACGAAATTTACCAACTTACATTAGTAATTGTATGTATATAATAAATTTGTATAAATATACATACATACATACATACACATGTATATGTAATTTTGAACAAATTTAGACAAAACTTGCTAACATCATTATCAATTATTGCGCCATCAATCACAAAAGCCACGCGTTACTTTGCTGCTACTGGGCTATACCAGTATACACATACATACGTATAACACTTCATATTCTCGGACGATTGTGACGTCAGCGTTAGCCCACTACTCACTGGCAGGAACTCCACGCAACGTTATTAGCCCTGTTCGCATACGCACTATCCAGTAAAACCCAGCACCAAATTTTACTGGTTTTTACTGGACGGCGTTTTCGTGCGAAAAAACTAGCAAGAAACCAGCAAAAGAGAGGGAGAGAATTGAGTGAGCAAAAATGACAGCTGAACTTGCAAGTTTTATTGGATTTTTACTGGATAAATTTTTACAATTTTTTTTTATTTTTTTTTATAAATACTAACTTGCTGAGGGCAATCGAGATTCATGTAGAATTTCGCCAAAGCTGTTGCAACAGGCGGTTAAATTCGTGCAATGTATGTATGTGTATTAGGGTGGTTCAAAAATGCATGTAAAAAAAAAAGTAAAGTCGGAATTTTTATGCTCTCACCCCCTAGGATTTTTTTATACCGAAATAAAATACCCTTCTTTTATTATTTTGAGATCAAAAAATATTTAGAGGTCGCTCAAAGCTCTCAAAAGTTTTCCATGTATTTTATATGGGGAAAAAACAACTCTTTTTAGAATTGGTATAGGATTGTTGAAAATCAACAGTTTTCGACTGGAAAAGTCTGCTTCTCTTCAGGAGATTCCCAGTAGTAATTCCTAGTTAATTTTTTAACCATTCATTTCATAGTAACTATATTTTATAGCTCCGAAAAAACCCCAAAAAAATGCCAGAAAAGGCAATTGAGGAATAAATAAAATATCTGTAGCATTGAAAAATGGTTAAATAAACCATTTGTTATTGTTATTGGAAGTCTCCTGAAGAGAACTAGAGATTTCCGTTCGAAAAATATTGCCTTTCAAGAATTCCATACCATTTCGACGAAAATTTGATTTTTTCCCATATAAAATAAATGAAAAACTTTGATCGGGTTGAGAGCATGAAAATTTCGACTTTACTTATTACGGACCACCCTAACGCACATATTAGTTAGTCAGCTGGTCGCCTTTCGCACTCACCTTATGCTGCACTTTAATTTCCAACTAAAGGAATTGCTTTTCGTTCAAAAAGCCGTAAGCGACATTTAAAAAAAAATGCTCCTAGAGCAGCCAGATGCATTTCTGCATCCAAAATGAAATTTTGAAAAAATGTCGCTTACATCTTTTTGGCGGTTAGGGCTCGATATGTACAATGTTTGTATAAGTTTTTTTTCTTTATTTGCTTTTAAATGCACAACCGGCGTAAGAATTTTCTAGTTTCACAAAACTGGCTTTTGGCTGTTGGTTTGCAAACTGAAACCTCCAACAAGACAGGACGCGCGCGCATTGACCGGCATGAGGACCAGAACTGTCTTTAAGCGGATCTGCCGCGATGGTGATAGGCGGCTGCAGTGTGTGCTCGATAATTATAAAGGGTTTTACAATTGGCGCGGATAGATGTTGGCATCAATATGATTACCTACAGTCGGGAAAAATGAGAAATGGGCCATTTCATTTTTCTTTTGTAGTGTTTGAACTTTACTAGATATGCATAATATATATAATACTAATTAGTATGGAGTTTTGCTTTGCTTTAAAACAGGTAAAATGTTGTATTCAAAGTTTTGCGAAATACTTGAAGAAAATTGCTATAAGGAGTTTTTGTTTTTTTCTTCTCCTGTGCAATTTTTAAATTGGGACTTAGCAACTTCTCACTATAGCATTTAATTTTTTATATAATTTTTGTAGTTCTTATCTCCACCGTTTCGCGTTCTGAATACGAATTTTAAAGTAATAAAGACTTTTGTATCCATTTACTTGCATTTTCGGTTTACATTTTCATGAAAACAACCAAATGTGCACACATACAGTGGTGGAAAAATAAATAGAGACGCGACATTTTAACAAATTTTGCTTATGTGTTTTTTTATTTAGTATTTATTAGTTTTTTTTTTTACAAAAGCATAGCTCATTATTTAACAAAAGCCATATAAATTCAATTTTAAACTTTGTGCGCAAATTGGGCCCATTTCAACTTGGTCCTTCATAATCGACTCGCCAACGTTTGGTGGCCAAAGTCAAGAAGACCGGTTCGTATAACAAACAGTCATCATCCTAATGTTAAAGGCACGCCAGATGGCCTTGGTTCGCGAAAATGTGCAAGAGAAAACAAAAGTCGTTAATACCTGATACAAAACAGGTTTTATTCAATTTTACCAGCTATCCACTCTTATTGTAAAACCCTTTAGTTACCAACTATTCGGAGTGACCGAAAGTCGTCCGTCGACTTATAAATAGCTGCGGCGGACAAGGATTGCGCGCGTGGTCGTTGCAATTACTTTAAGCAGCAGCTTAAACACATGTGTATTTACATACATAGATATAGGTACATATACATATTCTGTTCAGTAAAATTCTTATGGCTGGTTTCTCCAATTAGTTAATGGGTTTTTAATGCTTGCTAAATTTTAATGCAATAAATTTTTGCAATAGCATTCATTTAAACATTTTAATGTTAATACAAAAAAAATCATTAGCATTATTAAATATCAAAAATTAATGCATTAATCTTTTTCATTTACATTAAAATGGTATGTATTAAAAAATTTAATGCATTTTTCACAACTCTGGTGCGGACGCCTCTTTTCGCCTACGATTTTCTTGAAAAGCGAGTCCATAAATCGTGCGAAGTTAACTTGGACGTAGTGTTTTGGTATTGCTTTCATGCTTCGATGATCCGAAGAGAAGGCTTTAAGGTTTCTCATATTGCTCCCAATTTACATTATAAATAATAATTATTAGACTTTTTTAATTTGTTCTTTTTGTTTATAAAAAAGAATGATTTTACATAATTCTCAGTAAAAAAATAAATCAAAACGGAGAATCAAAGAGACAAGTAGTTAAAAGCATGATAAAAATATAGTAAGGTAGAACCGCTGAGAGTCACTTTTAAAATTCTTGACATTTCCAAACAATTTAATTTTTAAATTTACTCACAAACTCACACACACATTTTCAGTTTTCAATCTCAAGCAACAACAATTTCGAACAATTTCTATTTTTTATTTTCACTTTTATATGAGTTTAAAATGTTGGCAAACTTCAAAAAAAAATCATGGCCGACAAATTGAGAGAACGGTTCTACCTTGCTATGTTTTTATCATGGTTAAAAGTATTTTTTTTTTTAAGACAGGTTTTTATTAGTGATTAATAAAAGTTCGACCCCGCCCCACCTAATGGGAGAAAGAACGTTCGGAAGTGCATCAGCAAACAAATTTTTTCGAATAACAACGAAAAAAAAATCATCAAATGCACCCTGCGAATTTGCAACCCTGGCTGGCATGCGTTTCCTTCCGTTCCATAACTGTTTGTTAACGAGTTAAGGAACTCGCGTGGCGACATCTATTTTATATAAATTAAGATATTCGCTTGATCTAAGGCAACAACCGGTTGATGAGCAACCGAACGCAACTATAAATCGCTAGGTGGCGCCGTGACGGAAGTAAAATGCGTATTTAATGCCATCAATTTTATTAAAATCTAGCTAAGGAATAGAATGCAGTCAAATACAATTAACTCACTTCTACATATATATTCGATGTGGTCTAAAATAATAGTAGTTGCGAAGATTTTGAGTTACCAAATGATCTCTTTAAAAATGTGAAAACCAAATGTATAGTAATGATATTTTACCACATTCCTTACTGTATAAGAACGACATAGTCGATATTGATTTTAATCTTTAATAAGTACATATAAATGTAAATATTTATAAGCATTTTTTACTTAAAATACTGACGTTGCAGTTGCAGTTTTAAAATACGTGAATATCTATGTATGTATAAAGCTAAACAAAGTGACAAGACTCTGTGAAAATGGTTGAAATAAAATGAAATCAAAATTTGTTTTTTTGGCATTAAAAATTATTTTTAGCATTTTCTGGCATTTTTTAAAATGAGTTTTAGCATTTTTTTCGCGGGACCTGGTCACGCTGGTTCTAACATCACAAAGTAGTTTTTTTGAAAAGTGCAGATAGAGGGTATTGAATATAAGCCCTCGATATGTAAACGTTTATTTTCAACTTAATTCGAATTCCATATTGGGTGGTAGCGGCAGCGAAAAAACAAACAAATTACAAAAACAAATTATACGCACAATGACAATCTGAACCAAGGCGAATTTAATAAGGTGGTGCTGGGGCGACAGCTGAATTTTTCGACGTGAAATGTATAACGTCCATATGATGTGTTTGTAGTAATCCATTCTGTCATTGTATGTATAATTTGTTAGTGTAATTTTTTACTAATATACGGCTAACACCACATTATTAAATACGCCGTGATCAGAACGAAACAAATTTACAATAAACACATACTTTTGACAATCAGTAGGTGCAAACACAACGAAAATCTAATTTCGCCGGTGACACCACCTTTCGCCTTGTGTTCAGCGCAATAAGCATTGAGCAAGGTGTATTAAACAAGGTGGTGTTGGGGCGACAGCTGAGTTTTTCGCCGTGGAGGCCATTACGTCAAAATGATGTGTTTGTTGTAACTCATACCAATGACAGTATGGACATCAGCGTATAATTTGTTATTGTAATTTTTTAGTTATATACGGCCAACACCACCTTGTTAAATACGCCTTGGCATTGAGCTTGGGTAACAATTCGAAAATGATTGCAAAACGAATTTCTTTGCAAGTTGTCACCTACACTTTGCTCTGAGACCTACCTACGCACTGGGTGCCAAAATGATACCTTCCAAAAATAGTAGTAGTTCATACATACATTTTTGTGGAATCCCTGATGGGTACTACTTTTCCATAAACTAAAACTTTATAGTTTTTAAAGTTTATACTTAATACAATTGGTTTATCTTATTTTGGCATTGCACATTATGTTTTAGAAATGTGGTCCTTATTTTATTACCAAATGGATGGAAGTAAATACATAATTTGCTTTCGATTAAAAAGAATTGCACCTTTATTTTTCTACTTGGTACTTTTTATCCCCAACATACTACCTCATAGCTAAGGATAGTTGGCAACCGTGCACATGACACCATCTCTTTGATGCACTTTGATCGAATTTTTTACATCTTTCTCAAAGTTATTAAAGAGCGCACTCTAGTTTAGTCTATAGTTGAGAAACAAGTCATGAACAGAAGCATATAAAAATATTTTCATACACAAATTTTTAAAAATCTTAGTTTTTAACAAATTTTAACTGAATACTTCGGTACGAAAAAGAGTACTAAATTAGTACTATTTCGCCAGACGGCCTTCTTTTCTTCCGTTTTCTCTCGTGCGTTCGTTCTAACATAAGTTGCGATCCCATACGAGTCCGGACTAGTCAGAAATAGTCAGATTTTACTGGAAAACGAATTTTTGTTTTTTGGCAGTTTTACTAGTTTTAGTCCGAGGAATACGGGACTGGATCTATAATAAATACAACCTTGAGCTAAGAAAGCATCGAAATGAGCTGTCACTACGTATGTTTATCACCTTTTATAGATATTTTGAATTTCACTCGAGTGATAGAGCGCATGGATGAATGAACAAACAGAGCTAAATTGATTCCTATATTCTCATATAAAGTTCATTCGTCCCAGATCTGCTAAGTAAAATATCAATCATTTTAGTAGTGTAACTTCGACCTCTCTTTATCAAACTTGTACGGCTTTCCCAACAAATTTTTAGTTAAAAATTAACACTGTTGATTTTTAATTCCTTTTGCGCCGCGCTTCTGTCGACAACTCTCTCTTTCATGATTCAATAATACAAGGTTAGATAATTATTGACAGCTGCGGTTTGACACTCCCTTAAAAAAGGTTGCATTTACGATGGACAGAGAAAGGGCAAGAATGCAATCCCTTGTTGCGAAAATGGTAGTAGAAAAGTACGCAAAGTAGGCAATTAGTAGTGAAATTCCTTTTGTAAATTCTAATGTATTTGCAGGAAATCTGGCATTTTAAACGAAATGTTGAACGTAATATTGATATATCCACGTGTATTATGTAATTTATATGCTATTTAGCCGTATAAAAACTGCAAAATGACTCAAAATTAAAATAAGACTACTATGAGATTGATGTAAACATCCAATGCTTATGTTTTCATCAGTTAAATATGCTTCATATGCATATACAAATACATATTGCACAAAAGCTTATACTTTTATTTCACACCAAAGCTACACTGTTTCCATGTAAATTTGCAAAGAAGCAACACGGTGCCACTGCTAAGGGAGCGGTGCGAGAGAGACAACTGTCAGTTTATCGAACCTTGTATTATTGAATCATGTCTCTCTTTTATTTATTTTTTCTTCTTCTTCTCCGGAGTTTTGGTTGCAATAGATCTTGTCGCTTTGTCCAAAGTCTCAGCAGATTTGCACAAATTGTCTTGCTCCGTTTCGCTCAACTGTAGGTTTATTAACGATGTTACACCATTGGCACCAACCACAGCCGGCAATGAAAGAAATATATCTTGTTCGATGCCTTGATGGCCCTGGAAACAAAAGAAGAAGTTTGCTTATTTTACTATTACATCGAATAAAGCGACAACTTACTTTAGCCAACGTGCCAATTGTGGCCACTTCGTTTTTGTTATCCAATATCATAGAAACTACAGACGCTGCCGAGAGTCCTATGGCCCAATTAGTATAGCCTTTGCCGGCAATTACTTCGTATGCCGCTTTGACTACTTTCTTATGTATCTCGCCCCAACCATCTGTGTCACCTTCAGTGCCTATACACGCGGCAAGATCCGTGAAGCGTGTACCAGCTACGCTAACGCTGCTCCAAACTGGTACAGAACTGTCGCCATGTTCACCAATTACATAACCCTGCACCGAGCTAGGTGTTACGCCCAGACGTTGTGCTATGAAGTAACGAAATCTAGCTGTATCCAAGTGGGTGCCAGTGGTAAAGACACGCTCCTTTGGCAGTCCTGACTGCTTCCAAGCGGCGTAAGTTAAAATATCACAGGGATTTGAGATCACAACTATTACGGTTTCGGGCGAATATTTTACCAGTTGTGGTATTATTTGATTCAAAATATTGACATTTGTTTTGAGTAGATCTAATCGCGTCTGACCCTTCGTTTGACGTGCTCCGGCGGTCACAATACATACAGCCGAACATTCTGTAGCTTCATAACCCGTGCTGGGAACAATTTTAGCATCTCTCAGAAAGATGGAACCATGTTGAACGTCTTGAACCTCTGCATTCATTAACTTTTCGTTAACATCTATTATACATACTTCATTGGAGACATTTTGTGTTAGTATGCTCATTACGCATGCCATGCCCACTTGACCGCAGCCCACAACGGTGACCTTGCGTTTGCTCCTTTTAGCCGGCTTGGCAATTTTTGTAATTAATTTTTCTTTAACGGCATTCGTTGCGTATGTTCTGAAAGAGAAAAGAAACTAATATTTGTTAAATGCGTAATGACTCCAAGTACATTCATAGATACTAGAGGTTATACGAAAACGAATGTTGCTCAAATATTTTGATATTCGGGATGAGCCCTTTTTAAATATAGCACGTTTGCGTATAATTTCAGTCAAGCGATACTAAACGATTGAGGATTTTACCGCAATCAAAGAAAAGCAACGATTTCACCTTCATAGTCTCTACATATGACTTCTATACGGCTTTCAATCAATTGTTGGCCGTATTCCTACTTCGATTATGTCGGTTAAATCTTAGAGAAATTCTGAACCCAAGAACTTTCGTCTTCTTTTGCAAAGGGCGAGACATCCGCATATTCGCAATTCTCTAAACCGGCAGTGGGCACCGGCCTGCACGCGTGCTCTTTTAAGCTTTGTATATATTTAGTATAGAAAGCTTCACAGAGCACCACCGCTCTAAAATGGCCAATAGGATGCCCTTTGCTGTGGCTAAATCCGCTCTGATCAGCGCCCTGTTCCGTTTTGGTCACATAAGTTTTGTATTGTTGCAAGTGGTGAGACTTGCCCACCTGTTCCTTGTGAGTGGTGGCAGATATTTATTTGCGTACCTGAAACTTTGTGACGGCTACTTAAAAGTCGTGGGTAACTGCTTTGACAGTCACTGTGACAGACTGTGACAAAGGAACCGTCGCAACAAAGCAGTAACCGTCACAGTCACTTCTATGTAAGACTAAAATATGACCGCTGATGTTTGATATTAGAATTTCTTCTTTTTATTCGTATTTAGCGGGTTGGGGCTAGACGCTTGTGGATCGGGGTGAACGACAGTACTCGGCGACGGAGTGTCTCTCCCATCACAAATGCAACACCGAATTTCCGCTCCACTACATGGCAGCTGTAGTAGACGTCGAAATGCCCCAGACATTTATTGCCTTGTCCGGTCCAACGTATATCGTGGATGGCGGTGACGTCAGCTTTTGCCCTTACGAGAAAATCAATCAGTCGGGCAACGGCGCTTTCCATACTAAGATTCTGGAGACTCCAGATGCATGCCCTCAGATCGTAGTTCTTTAAGCGTTTGCCATGGTCGTCATCAAAGGAGGAGAAGGGGGGCGGGGTCTCACCCCATGCTTTATTTGCATTGCCCACTGAAAGGGGTTTTTACGTGGCGGATATCCCGAACCCAGCGCGTAAGCCATTGTTGGGCCGATTTCTTCAAGACAGATACCTGCTTGTAGCCGGACTTACTGGTGAACAGTCGCCGCCGATTTCAGTGAGCCCTTAAACCATGTAAGTCGAAGGGACCCCACCAAAGCTCCCTCTCTTTCTACCGTGACGCAAAGCTCCACTCAGTTTGGTTACCGCATCTCGCACCTGGGTTGCCCACGTTGTCCAGAGTGTGCTAACGAGGACGCAAGCGTCAGGATTGAGTATAGCTCTGCACTTGTAGCTGCAAACCCAGAACAACGACCAAACCCCATTGCATTGCCTCTATTAGAATTTCATACCCCTAAAAACGAATGTAAATTACTAAAACAAATGACACCTCTAGTTCACTCGGTAAAAGATTTCTGTTCTGCAACACTTTTGTCACTGTTTTTGTCAGAGTCACGGCTGAAAATCACTGTTGATCCTCAAAAGTCACAAGACTGACCATCCCTTGCTAGTTTAAGATATAAATCTCTTAGAAAGAGCTTACCGGTAGCGAGCGGCATGCTTAAACCCTTCCCTTTCTTGCAAGTTCTACCGCATATTTGTTGCCTGGTATGTTCTGATGCCTCGGTACTCCTACAAACTGAAGAACAAACTGCTCAGCCATCTCGTTTAGAGAGCTGCATGTGTCCAAGTCAAGCGCTTTGAGTACCGCCTCACTGTCTGAGTAGATGAAGATATTGTTACATATAACTTCTCCTGTACGTATGTAAGTGTTCTCTCGCTTTCTGTATGGTAGCGAATTTATCTTTTATTTAAATTTATTTTTTTATTAATCAACAACAAAAAGGTTTTATCTTGAAAGACGCTGCAATAGTCGGGTAGGCAAAATTATTTATTCAGCCCGAGCTGGGCTGAGAAGGCATACCCTCCTACTCTGTCCTCTAAATTAGAGCCATCGGTGTAGAAGTGGAGTGATCCCTTTTCATCAGGAGTCTAGCAGATAGTCTTCAAATTTTTTTCGGCATACAGCTATTTGGGGTTCACTATATGTACTTCAATGTTATCTCCAACAGCATCGCCGTTTCCATATATGTATGTATGTAATCTAACAACCTGTTTATTGAATTTGTTTTCCCACATTCACTGGAGCTATAAAAATTTAACGAATGAGCTTTTCATTTCATTCCATGCAACATCAGTTTTGCAAACATCATCAAAAACAGCACTGAAAATTGGCCGCAGCAACAACATAATCAATGGGAGGCACAGTGGAATAGTGTTGCCGCTATGCAACATCATACAGAAGCGGCGATTTATGCTAATTTGCATAAACATTCATTCAACATTTTTTCATCAACAACCGCTGATTATACTAACAGCAGTGAATGATTTTGCTTTATTTTGGATTTATTAATAACTGAAAAGTTGATGTTAAGGAAAAAATGCGAGGCTTTTCGTTCTTAGTTCAATGACTGACTGCATTGTTGATTCGGCTGTTGTTCTTGACTTGTAGGTACATACATAGTTGTTGTTGATGCTAATGTTGCTGATGTTTTTATTGTTGTTCCTACGACAGGGCATTCATCTTCGAGTCGTTTGCATTTTGTTGCTATTATTTATGCAGTTGCTGCTGTTGTGCATCTAATTTTGGGAGATCACTTAAAAGGGTTCTCCGCCTCTTACACAGCAGCGACGGGGTACTCAACCACAACACAATCGCAACACCAAACCAAAAAAAAAAACAAGGAACAAAAGCACTGCATTGCAACACGGCGGCGGCGACGCCGACGAATAATCGACAATGAAATGAAATGTTGCCAAAATAAAGTTGTTGTTAGTCGGTGCAAACATCTTTTGTTGCTATTGCTGGCTTTTAGTTTAGGCTTGTTGTTGGCACTGCATGGCTGCTACTACATTTCAGCGACGACGCGTAAGCTGCGATTTAGTAGATTGTCTTTGCAAGCTTGCATTGTTTTCTTTGTCTTAACATTTTTGGGAATTTTTTTCTTGTCCCTTGTTTTTTGCTAGTTTGTTTGGCTATCCTGTTTTTTTTTTGTGTATCGACGATTATGAATGCATCAAACAATGGATGACGCAGCCCTGCAGCATCGTTGCGACTTAACAACTTAATAATCCAGCAAAATTGTTGAAAGCGGACTTGGAAAAGTTTTCTTTACGTTGCTAGCAGCTATGTACTATGTGCAAGACGCATAGCGAGCAGAAGAGGAATACTAAAACATTTCCAAATTCTGCCCTTTTTTGGGCGAATCATGCTTTGAGGAACATGGAAGAAAAAAAACTGAAGAAACGTGAGTTTTGAAGATAGTCGAAGCAAGACGTTGGCGGATTATATTTTCTAGGCACTTTTTTAAGGTTTCTTAAACCGAAAGCAGTTTGCTTTAAATTGCGGGGGGCGGGTTGTACACATATGGCAGCCCATTGCACTATTAATTTGAAACTGAACGAGTTGTTATGCCATCGAAACGCACTGCACCTCTAATTTGCATTTTAAATCAAAAAAATATTTGATTTCGTAAAAGTTTAAAAAAGAATTATCATTTTATGTTTTCAATTTGGAAGTAATGTATGTATCAGAGGTGTTAAAGAATGCAGTAATTCTAAACTAAATTATTCACTTGAATGAAGTGCCAAGTGATTGCAATAATTTTTTGTTAGTCCTGACTAAGACTAAAAAAGAATTAGTATTTATTCTTTTTTTTGATTCATGATTCATAAATAACTTTTTATTAAGTTTTTGTTGGTCATTTGATTTCAGCCATTGAATTGCATTCTTAGCAAAAAATATTGTAAAGAACATTTTGACACCTGAACGCGATAAAAATCACAACGGTTTGGAGGTTTCTGGAATTCATTGACATTTGCTAAATATTTTTATACCACTGGAGTTTTAATTAGGCTTTTTGTGTACTCATTTATTTTCTAAACAAATAAGTATTATAATTCTATGAAGAAGTGCACGCAAAGATTGCTTTAGAATTTCATTATTCACCTCGGACTTCAAAAATGACTAGTTAGTCATGAATAACAGAAAAGACTAATGACTTCAAATTTACAGTCTTTAGTCAAACATGCGATTGATTGGCTGCAGTTGAAAAGCGTTAGTCAGTGAATGTGACAGCAACGATTTAAAGTCACGATGACTGCATTCTTTAACACCTGTAACACCATGTATGTAGAAATATTCTTCTATGTTAATTGTGGAAACAAAGCAAACGTTTTGAATCGACATTGTTTCCCTCTCCACTACCTAACCCCACGTCTCCACCTTCAACAGATTCTATTAAAAAAAATGTGTTAAGAGAGAAATGTCAGGTGGAGACCGCATATGTCCACTGGTAAACCATATCTGTCTTGCCGAATTTCTTGCCATCGCTGCCTTAACATCAGCTGTAATTTCGTAGTTTGACAGCTCTGAGGTCGAAAAAATTATAGCCGCACCATATTTTGACAAGTTTTAAAATATAATTTTTTTTGTAATTTAATTTTGGTTATTTTCCTCGATGCGAAAGTGTACTATTTATGATCGTACAGAATTCATCAAATAATTTCCACAATTCAGGACATTTCGTTTTAAATGCATGCTTTCACTTTGGAATGCCCCTTAATTGTATGTATGCATGGACATTAAAGTGTCTCACAAATTTCGGTTTAGGCGACACGTGTGAAATAATAGAGTTCAACTGTAATAAATCTACGTTTTTCTTTTTAATTTTAAAACATTCTGTAGTACAGAAATTTAAAAAGGACACTTTCTACTTAGGCGGGCCGAATCAGGGTGCCCTAAGATCTTTGATGAGGATCAGTCAGGCTGGGACATTTAGA